CTGTGACTTGCTGTCCTGAATCGTCTTTATCTAAAAATGGAGCGCGGCGACGTCAGATCATGTGCTAACACTTCTTCATGAAGGCAGAAAAGGTGGCGTAATCACATTCACACCTGGGTGATGTGGTTACAGTCACTGGAGCAGCTGCTCACACGCTCTACAAACCTGGACAATCACCCTCTGTATTATTTATGTTGTGTCTGTCAGTACACGGGGTCTTGTCTTTCATTGACCTCTTCACCTTTTCTTCACGACACTTTTTTTATCTGTAGCTGCAGAACTACCTTCAAAAGATCAATCAGATCAAAAGATCAATCAGACGATTTCATCACACGTTGTTGACAATCAACGGTGATGTGGTTTGAATATTTGTCAATGCAAAAATACATCAGCATATATTAATGTGGGGGGGGGAGGGGGGGTGTAAAGGACCTAAAGTGTTACACAACATGGACAGGTGTATCTGTTCCTGTTGCTTGGAGACGGAGCGTGGTCTTGTTGTTGTGAATTAAACAGAAGTTCCTGCTTCAAGGTCTTTGAACCGTTGACATGATCTGAGAATAAAACTGTTGATACACGTCATGTCCTGCTGTTAACAGGAAGGATTTTGTTTTATATATATATATATTTACTTTTTTATTTTTTTTACCCCCGACCTGATCAAAATGTCAAGTTAATCATATGTTGTTGTATTTTTATTTGGCTGTTAGAGTTCAGTCTTTGAGGTCAGATGAAGATCTTTGACGTGGATGAGTGTCTGTTGAGGATGTCTGGCTGTCCGCACTTTAACACACCTTTTTAAAGTGAGAAATTATGAATTAGTCAGTTGTTATGAAAACATTTTTTTTATTTTGAGATCATTCCAATTTGACATTTAATATCGAGACCAAAACCTCGGGGTTCAGCACCTCCTCCTCCTCCTCCTCCTCCTCCTCTTCCTCCTCCTCCTCCTCGTTGTTGTTTCTTTCGCCCACAGCTTTAATCACACTTTGATTGTGTGTCTGTTTGTCTTTTTAAGGTTCCACTCTGCAGAGTTGATGTTCCAGCTGAGGTGTTTACTGTCCTCCACTGTCTGTGTGTGTGTGTGTGTGTGTGTGTGATGCGGTCACAGAAACACACTGTATTTAGTGTCAGTCTGTGCCAAGCAGGATATTTTGGTGTGAGAGTGTGGGTGGCTGCTGTGCAGATGGAGAGGAGGAGGAGGAGGATGTGTTCTCTTCCTCTCAGACACATAAATCCTCTTCTGGGCTTCCTTTAGTCCGACGGCTCCACCTTAAAAAGAAACATCAACAACACCACGCCTGCGACAAAGATCCTGTTGAATACGAGTCGTCGTTCCGGCTGCAGCCGTTGTACTTTCTCCACCCGTGTCATTTTTGTTATTGTCTTAGCGAGCGTTCATGTGACTCGCCACAGGTGTGCACATGATGTTATGTGTGTGGGCGTGGGCGTGGACGTCCTTGAGCGTGTGTTGTTGGAGCAGGTAGAGCGCTGCGGCGCAGGTGTGGCCTCTCCACCTCGGTAAACAACAATTAGGTTTGACAGAGAAGAGGGGAGAATCAGCCAATCCTCCGGCAGCGCTGACGGAAGTTTGAAGAATGACTCAGAATGCTTTTCATTTCAGAGCTGCTGTTCAAAGTCAGAGTCCTGGGGGGAAGGGAGGGGGGGGCAGGAAGACCAGATCAGTGATATTATGGTTTCAGACGATGACAGTAGAAATGTGAAGTATTTCAGGCTAACGTTACGTTAATTCTTGAGATCCTAATTTTCTTTACTTGGTTTTCGACGTCTGTGTGAACACTCTAGCGCCCCCACCTGAGCAAAAATAGATGACATGACTGTTGGATCTGTGCTGTGTCTTTGAGTCCAGACCAGATGTTGAACTATAAGAACAGTGACAGTAACGTCAGACCTTCACACTTGGATCTGAACACTTTGTTGGAGAGAAGTAATTTAAAAAAACAAAAAAGTTGTACATGGAACGGAACGACATGTTGTGTGTGTGTGTGTGTGTGTGTGTGTGTGTGTGTGTTGCATGTTGTGTGTGTGTTGCAGCAGGGGATCACGGAGTTCAGAGTGTCGCCCCCGTGTGACAGGAGGCCGGGCCCTGACAGGGGCCTCCACTTGTGTTAAATCAAGGCAGGAATTCATGAGTGGTTCCAGCTGTTAGAGAGTGATGGAGGTTGTTGACTGAATGATTGTGTGTGTACGTGTGTGTGTGTGTGTGTGTGTGTGTCCAGTCTTTGGGAACAGATGGCAGCCGCGGTTCATGTTGGTACATGTGATGATTGGTGTTTTACACAGGTTGGTGAAACTTTGATTCTTACCCAGGAGCCGTGAGTGTTTGTACACAGTGTTGTATCATAAAAACCTGCAGATGTACTTTGGATTACTTGGTTTTAGAGGTATTACTTTCCACACTTGATCCTAGGCCTGAAGCAGTTTGAAGTTTTTCTCTTTTATTCTTCACGAGCCACCTGCACATCTGTACAGAAACATAAAAAGTCTCCAACTTTCCTTGTGGACCTGGTGCTGTTCCAAACTAAGAGTCGTTTCAGTCGAGTCCTTGTTGGTTCACTGGACACTGAACCAGACTCATCCACAGTGGGAACAGATTAGAATGAGTGTTGACAACAAACGCTCCAGTCTTTGAAGAAAACAAATATTTACTGTATTCTGATGAGACTGAAAGAAGGGAGACGTTCACCGTGTGCAAACAGAAGTCTGAGGTCATGTGACTCACACCTCAGCTGTAAATGATTGACGTCTGCTTCACCTCCGTCTCTGAGATCTTTAGATCCACGGTTTACTGGACTTGGTTCAGTCACGATTTCCCCTCCAGCTGCTCCACGGTCACCATGCAGACACAGCACGATCTTGTCACGGAGAGGGCGAGCAGGCGGGCGAGCGAGTGAGCGGGCGGCTCGCTGTGAATACTGAAGATCACGAGTCACGAGGGTCCATCTGTGTCCTCCTGGTGGACAGAATGTGACACAGTTCTCTCTGCTCAGTTCCTCGGACCTTCAGCTGGTGTGGCTTCACTGTGAGGGTCAGAGCGGAGCTAAATCTGAGGCTCGCGGTCCTCATGTTGTGATTTGATTTAGTGACGGTTTCTGGTCTCTGCTTTAAGGACGTGTTTGATCTTAAACGTCACAAGCGGCAAAACAGAAGGTCTGAAGCTGCTGGGTGTAAATGAGCTCAGCAGATGTGGTCCAGATGTGGTTCAGATGTGGTTCTGGTTCTGGTTCTGAGGGCAGTTTGTCTTTGATGAGCACAGTTCTCCTCACCACCACCATACTAAAATAACGTGGTTATTACTAAGACGTCGAGTTTGTCTTTGATGAGCGCAGTTCTCCTCACCACCACCACACTAAAATAACGTGGTTATTACTAAGACGTCGTGTCAGAGAGAATGTTTTGGTTCAGTTTACATTGAACTTGACATCGTTGTAGGATCATTACCACTGCGACAAAAGAACAGTGGACTGATTGACCTACAGATGGCAGCACTGGTAATAAATGCATTAACAGATGGACACAAGAATGGCGTCTGTGACCGGAGGTCAGAGGATGTGGTCTGGAGACATCAGTGTCCTCCCAGAGGATTTGATCTGATTACCACCACCAGGGTGAGGAAGATCAAGGCTGTTATTGTGCTTCACCATAAGGTTGGTAGTTAAATCCCCAGTTCCTAGTTAAAGTCGTGTGTTGGTTTCTCACAGCGGTGTTGACCTGCTCCACCACAGTCACCTCGCTCAGTCAGAACAGTCCAGTCCAGTCCACTCCAGTCCAGTCCAGTCCAGTCCAGTCCAGTTGTGTTTTGATTTTGGTGGAAGACCAGGGGGTCCTTCACTCCTCTCCCTCCCTCCCTCCCTCCTTCCTTCCTCTCTCTCCTGCCTCCATCCAGTCTCTCTTTGATGTGAGGACAGTGCTCAGGAAGTGAGCTGGAATCGATTCAAGCGTGCACTTGACTGGGAATGTGTGACATCCTCCTCCTCCTCCTCCCCTCCTCTTCCTCACCCCCCCCCCCCCCCCCCCCCTCCCTCCCCCTCTCTCCTGCCCCCATCCAGTCTCTCTTTGATGTGAGTACAGTGCTCAGGAAGTGAGCTGGAATCGACTCAAGCGTGCACTTGACTGGGAATGTGTGACATCCTCCTCTTCCTCACCCCTCTCCTCCTCCTCCTCCTCTCCTCCTCCTCCTCTCCTCCTGAGACATCCCTGATTTGTTTTCCCTCCGTTCAGTTCCTCCTGCTGCTCCTTCACGCTCGCTCGTCTTCCTGATATCACTTTACTTGGTGCAGATTACTGACAGTCAGACACCTGAGCTCCTGTTCATGAGTGGATGTTTCTCTAAAGACGGAGGAGAGATCAGAGGAAAGTCACGTCTACATCAGAGGAGCACTGATGCAGTTATTGTTAGGGTTTGGTTTTTTTCATTTTGTTATTTAAAGAACTGCAGCAAAAGTAGAATATTAATTTTACTGATGTAAAACCAGTACAAAATACCAGTTTAATATCCTGAATATGTTGAAGAAGGAGAACGTTCTTACACTGAAACAACAAACATCAGTATAGAGCCTTTAATACAGGCACGATGGTCATGATTACATTTGAGTCATGTGACCGCTGTGTTTTCTACAGTAGAACACTCAACCTCAATGACTGCAGTTAGTTTTACTTTATTCTGAATTTTTTTTTTAAAATCCTTTGATCTTCATGTAAAGAACTCAAAGGATTCTTGATAAAAGGTTTGAAGATGATGAAGTTGGCAGCTGTCTTTGATATTTAACATGTTGAAGTCTAAACTAACTCATCCTCCTCACTGATGAAGGAGAAGCTGACGCTTTCACACGTTCACATTTAGTTTTATTCTGGACACAGTCACCAGAGGTCACCAGAGGTCGGAGGTGGTCAGAACAGTTTGTCTCAGTGACATCATCATGAACCCCGTCACCCACAGTCACCGCTCTAATCCTTTGAATCCTTCTCGTGTTCCCAAGTCAAGGCTGGAGGACAGCAACTGGGACAGAAGTGTCCACAGGACAGGTAAGACCGCGGGGAACCAGACGGTGTCCAGCAAGACGGACAGAGGGAGGAGGGAAGAGGAGGAGGAGGAGGAGGAGGAGGAGGAGAGGAGAAAAGAGATGAAGCCTCCAGACGCTCCCTACGCTCAGCAGTTTCATCTGGAATCCACTCTGGGCCTCATTTGTCAACAGCTGGACATTCTCACCCAGGTATGACACACGCTGAGCTCTCACTGCTCCGTGGAGCCGTACACACCAATAACTAACTTTGTTGAATAAACAAACCCTAATAATGATACAGTTGATTGGTCATTTCCACAGACCGTGTCAGTGCTGGAGGAGCGACTGACGCTGACTGAGGACAAACTCAAGGACTGTCTGCAGCACCAGGCCACCATCCTCAAAGACATGCGGGGGTCACAGGGGGGGTCACAGGGGGGGTCACAGGAGGGGTCACAGAGGTCCAAGAGTCTGGGAACAACCGTGTTCCCTTTTCACTACAACTGTGGATGAGATCAGCCACAGACGGCAGCACAGACGGCAGCACAGACACAGACTCTACCAGTTCACTCTGTCAGGATTGTTTACATCTGTGTGGGTTTTTTTTTTTTTTTTTTTTTCCCCCGAGTGTCTTTTGTTTTTTTAGAATCCATCTTTACGACCGCGGGGTGTGTGTGTTTATATAAATAACTCTTTTAACACGTTTGTTTTTCTGACGTTTTTCTGTCTCCTCCTTCAGGTTGGATCTGAAATCAGTTTTTAAAAGAACCCATGAAATGATGACAGTTTAATGTTGATGATGTTGATGATGTTGATGATGTTGATGATGTTGATGATGTTGATGATGTTGATGATGTTGATGATGTTGATGATGTTGATGATGTTGATGATGTTGATGATGTTGATGATGTTGATGATGTTGATGATGTTGATGCCCAGTCTTTGAACCACAGTCACCGACTTCACACCAACAGGGTTTTTCTTTCTTTGGTCCATTTTTACCGTTCCACCGTGACCTTCTGATACGTGACGGACCGCGGCCTCGTCTCACGGTCGGCGTCCCCGTTGCCCAGGCGGACGGTGTTTTGTCTCGTTGCTGCCCCGTCACAGAGTCTTCAGCTGTTTATGTTGCTCCAGAGGCGGAGACGTGGTCGGGAGGAAGCAGTAAAAAAGCCACACAACAGGAGGAGCAGCTTCTGCTCTGGCTGCTGTTTCTCTGTCGCCACATCCTCCACGTCCTCCACGTCCTCCACGTCCTCCACATCCTCCACATCCTCCACATCCTCTCTGGTCACTTTGGCTTTTCTTTCTCCTCCTCCATCGTTCTCTTCTTCGTTCTTCCGGTTCCATAAAGTGGTTTGGCCTCAGTGAGAGAGAAGAGTCGGTGTTATCTACAGCTCCACTCCCTGAGGTCTCCCTGACCTCCTGACCTCTGTGGTCTTCATCTGAAGGACCTAATGTCAGGGACACAGTTCCTATCAACAGGGAAGAACCGTTACTGAAGACGTTACTGAAGACGTTACACAGTAACTCCAGACTGATTGTCCTCGGACTGGAGGTTCTGCAGAAACGTCCCCTGAAGGTGTGAGCGTCTCGTCTCTCTGTATCACTGAAGACGTTACTGCAGACGTTACTGCAGACGTTACTGAAGACGTTACTGAAGACATCACTGAAGACGTTACTGCAGACGTTACTGAAGACGTTACTGAAGACGTCACTGAAGACGTTACTACAGACACAGTAACTCCAGACTGATTGTCCTCGGACTGGACGTTCTGCAGAAACGTCCCCTGAAGGTGTGAGCGTCTCGTCTCTCTGTCTCCGTCAGATGGAAACCGTGGAGACACATTTCCACCTTCACTTGTTGTTGCGTCTCCTTCAGTGAACACAGAATACACTCTCATTACACTGTGTGTGTGTGTGTGTGTGTGTGTGTGTGTGTGTGAACATGAACCTAAAACCTGTTAATGGTTTCCTGGAGGAGGAGTTTCCTGTTGATATTAAGGATCTCAGAGCCAGGACTGTTGACTGGCCACGAGGCGGATGGAGTCAGTTTACTACTGGGTCTGTGTGTGTGTGTGTGTGTGTGTGTGTGTGTGTGTGATGTATCCTTGTCTTTGTTCATCCTCTCTGACTGAACAGTCGTGGCAGCATTGATGTAGAACTTGACTTTTCTTCTTCTGTTGTTGGCACATCTTCAAAATGTCGTCATTGTTTGTGAAACGTCCCTTTAACTCTTTACGGCAGTTTAGTTGTTCCTCTCTTTAGGTCAGGAAGGTCAGGGAGGTCAGGAAGGTCAGGGAGGTCAGGAAGGTCAGTCGTCACAGTTTAAATCAACATAACTTACCATCAAAAAAGTCTTTATTTAGATTTAGAAAGTTGGGCCTAAAATATGGTCACGGTGACTGAGAACCATCACAACATTAAAACACTTCACAGTAGATAACCTCGACCCCCCCCCCTTCGGCCCCCGTTCTTTATGATTCTCACATGATCCACCCAGCTAGCATTAGCTTCACCACTGAAGGGACGGATCTGCTTGTTGTCAAACCCTGAAGACAGAGAAAACAGAGCAGGATTATCTTTTTGGGAAATTCCCTCTGAATCCCCTTCAGGTGTGGAGGCAAATAAACGAACTCCAGGGACAAAAGGAGGACGGAGTGTAGAGAGACAGAAGACAGGAAGGAGGGGGGACGGGGGGGGCTGCACCCACGCCTATAGAGTTACACTGAGTCTGACTGTGTCCTTAACAATCACTGATTGTCCTCCGTACGTCCTGTTCACACACACACACACACACCTGTTCAAATAGGTGCAGCAGTGGACGAGTCAACAGTGGGTCCTGAACGCCGCGCGGTTCCTCTGTTTGTTCTCTAATACCTCTGTTTGACTTGTTGCCCCACAGGGGTAACAGCAGACGTTTGTTCCTCCGTCTTTGTTTCCACTGCTGCTCTGAGTCAGAGGGACACATCGGCGTGTGGTTGTACCCACTGAGCCACAGGCAGGACACGGCCCACTGGTCATGTTTGGTATCACAGCGCTCACCTACAGAGTGTGTTGACGGG